TCGGCCGAGGCAGGCCACTTGGTCTCGGGGACGATCTCAGACCGGGCTTCGGCGCCGGCTCGAGGTCGCTCCCCAGCGGAGGGGTGGCGGGTGCCGGCCCGTGCACTACCAACGCACATTTTTTCCCTAGCGGAGCCAGACGCCTCTTCCGAGGCCGAGGCTTTCACTAGTGGATTCGTAGCCCGGAGCCAGGGGGGTTCCCTTGGTCTCGGGGACGATCCGAGACCGAGCTTCGGCTCCGGCTCGAGGTCGCTCCCCAGCGTAGTAGTGGCGGGCACCGGCCCGTGCACTACCGACGCACAATTTTCCCTAGCGGAGCCAGACGCCTCTTCCGAGGCCGAGGCTTCCACTAGTGGATACCTAGCCCGGAGCCAGGTTGGTTCCCTTTGTCTCGGGGACGATCTGAGACCGAGCTTCGGCTCCGGCTCGAGGTCGCTCCCCAGCGTAGTGGTGGCGGGCACCGTCCCGTGCACTACCGACGCACAATTTTCCCTAGCGGAGCCAGACGCCTCTTCCGAGGCCAAGGCTTTCACTAGTGGATACCTAGCCCAGTGCCAGGTGGGTTCCCTGGAACCTCCGGCACCTCGGCACCGGGACTCGGCCTCGGGCCGGGTGCAGAGACACGTGCGGGACAGGATTGTCCAGGTACTGCCTCAGGTGGCTGCGCCCATGCCAGAGTCGGAGACACCCAACTTGACTTGCTTCGAGGAGCAATATCATAATGCATGCCAACAGCTCCGTGTGTCCGTACACTCCGCGTATCTGTCGGCTGTACAGAGGGAGTTAGCGGGAGAGGGGCCGGCCGACTCTTCGGAGTTGGCCGCGCAACTAACGGAAGTTCAGTTATCTTGCGCGGGACGCTATTCGTAGCTGTGCCTCGCAGATGATGTGCGCTGTTATGGGCATTCGCAGGCGGTGGATGTCGGTATCTAAATACTCGACTTACACACGCCAAGACCTACTTGCTTTGCCGTATAAGAGGGTGCCACCCTCTTCCCTGGGGCTCAGCAGGTGGTCCGAGAGGCTGCTCAATTGTATACTTCCATCAAAGACTCATAAGGCCTTGTTGGAGGTACCAAGCGTTTAAACCGCGTAAGCGGGCCTCTCCAATTGTCCCCTCCTACGCTAACGCACGGGTCAGACGTCCACACCTGCTTGGAAGCCGCCGCTTCCTTCAGGTATAAGGGCGCCGGGAGGAGCAAGAGAGGCACGGGCCGGGGCAAGGCAGCTGGTCGAGGCCAACAGCTTTTTCGCAGGGCTGGGAACGATGGGTTCCCATTAGCGCCCGAAGAGCCCCGGGTGAACCCACAGTCGCAAGTTATCGAACTGTCCACTGCCTCCAGCCGGATGTCCCCGTAGGCGGCCGACTGGCTCTATTCCTGAAGGAATGGGAGACAGTTACAACACAATCCCCGGACCCCGTCCATTTTAAGGGATGGCCATTTGCCTCGGTGGAAAACTCATCCGCTCCTCCACTTTTCCGAGATAAAGCACACTCCGGTGCCTGCTACCCGAGAGAAGGCGGAATTCCTCCGTGCCGAGGTCGACGCACTTCTTATGAAAGCTGCGATCGAACCGGGTCCCGAGGGACAGGAAAGCGAGGGCTTCTACTCGACTTGTTTCCTAGTCACCAAACAGTGATCTCAACTGTCGAGACAGGAGAATGGCTAACGTCAATAGACTTAAACTACGCCTATCTCCACATACCAATACACCCCGATTTCAAGAAATACCTGAGGTTTTCTTTCGACGGGAGGTGTTATCAGTTCAGGGTTCTACCATTCGGGGTCTCCACGGCCCCGAGGGTGTTCACCAAGCTGATGTTGATTCCCGCCCAAGTGGCCAGGTCAAAAGTTCGGTTCTGCCATCCGTACCTCGACGACTGGTTACTAAGAGCTCTATTGCAATCCCTGAGTCAGATAGCTACACAACAAGTGATAGATATTCTGATCACTCTAGGGTGGATGGTCAATCTCAAGAAGTCAGATCTGAGGTGAGAGGACGTGTATCTCTGTCACAAGATATCAAATCCCTTAAGCGCAAGTCACACTGCTCGTACATGGCTCCAGTTACTGGACAACATGGCGGCGACAGTGGATTTGGTCTGGCGGGCGCGCTTGAGAATGAGTCCCATTCAACAAGCACTCCGTCGACTTTGGGCGAACTCGGAAGATCTCTAGACTCCGTAGTGGCTCATTACACACCTCCAGTGGTGGACCGAGGTCGGGAATCACTCCCGTTCCGTCTCTCACAGTTCAAACAGACGCGTCACTCTCCGGCTGGGGAGGCGTTCTGAATGATCACACTGCCTCGGGACTATGGTCCCAGCAGGAGATCAAACTGCATATCAATGTGCTAGAACTGAGAGCGGTCAGGTTGGTGTTCCAACGCTTCCCGGATCTGCTTCGTGGCCAAGTGGTTCGTCTAGAGATGGACAACCAAACAGCGATGACTTACATCCGGAAGCAGGGGGGAACGGCGTGGAGGCTCGACCCGGGGATATTCGGAATTTTCTCCCTGTTATACAGGTCATTACAGGTGGATCTGTTTGCGTCTTGGTTAAATTACCAGACACCAACGTTCTGCTCCCGAGTCCACGACCCGAGGTCGGTGGCACCGGACGCCTTTCAGCTAGATTGGACGGACAGTTCTGGGGGCATTCTCCCCAGTACCTCTGATTTCCAAGGTCCTGTCTCAGCTAGCCACTCAGCCTGCGCGACTACTTGTGCTCCTGGCACCTCTTTAGTCGGCGCAGAGTGGGTTTCCAGTAATACTCAGGTTTCTGGCTCAGCCTCCTGATATATTACCTTTACGACCGGACCTCCTATCCCAGAACGGGGCCCTCCACCTGAATCTCAGGATTCAATGGGTGGCTTGGCCACTGTCAGGAATCGCCTCCAGAAGAGCGGTATTCCTGCACGAGTTGCAGACACAATACTGGCTTCGCGGAGGGATTCGACAAACGTTCAGTACGATAGATAGGCCTGCTATGCGCCCTGGTGTGTCGATAGAGGGATTGCAGATCTTTTTTCTGCAGATCTCGTATCCGTGCTTGAGTTTCTCCAGTCGCGACTAGATGACGGCCTGGCCGCATCAACAGTCCGAGGGTACTCTACAGCTATCGCAGCTTTTCACGTCCCTGTCGTCAGGGCACTTCTGGGTGCACACCCATTAGTGCAGCGCTTTTTAGCAGGTGTGGACAGGATCCGACCGCCAGTCCGGCGGATCAGTCCCCCTTGGGACTTGTCAATCATTCTCGATTGGCTGTCCGGTCCTTCTTTTCGGGATCTGTTGTCTCTCTCTCTTCAGCTGTTGAGCTGGGAGACGGCGTTCCTTGTGGTGGTAACGTCCGGCAGACGGGTAGGCGACATTCGTGTTATGTCAGCCGATCACGAAATAACTGTCTTCCATGCGGTCGATAAATATCACCGGGACAGAGTCAGTTTTCGACTACCGGACCCTTACCGTCCTAGGGTCGCACACGATTCCACGTGAACGGCTCCTATTGAGCTACCTGCTCTTTCACAGCCTTCCTCGTCGGGGACCACTGCAAGACATGCTCATGTCTTGGATGTCCGCACGACTCTCAAGGCCTATATCAGCAGAAATATGGGTGTCCGTAAGGATAACCAACTATTTTGCTGTTACGGCGGTAGGAAGGTTGGCTCACCTGAGAGTAAACAATCTATCTCGAGGTGGATAGTTTCAACCATTTGTACAGCGTATACGCTTAAAGGCAGGGACCCCCCTACCAGGTTGAAGGCTCATTAGGTTAGAGCAGTGGCTGCGTCAAAAGCGTACGCCGCGGCTCTGCCACTTGAGCAGATCTGCTCCGCGGCTATTTGGAGCCAGCCGAGCACGATTCATCAAACCTTACCAACTCGACAAACACTCAAGCGAGCGTACTCGGTTTGGTCAGTCAGTTCTCCGAACTGGGCAAAGTTCTAATCTCTAGCTGATTGAGCATTCGAGATTTTAGACAGTCTTCCGGTTATACTGCTCAGTAATGGTCCGGATTTTATCTTCTACGGTCGATAAATATCAGTCCTTACTACTCGATAATCATCGTATTTTGCGCACGCACTCCTTCGATCCTCGGGGACCCTCTGGCCTAGCTCAGTGCTGGTTATGGTCTCTCGTGATCTACGCCCCTATATCACTTGTTCAAAAAAAGTGTGGGGGGTGGGAGGTGTTTCGAGTTCTCAACTTATGACAAGCCGCAAAAACAGGCTTTATCATAATATATGGTCGACCACGCCCTGTCTCTAGCCCCCGCCTTTCGACGGTGGTGCCTCACGATAAGGTTGGTTTCATTTATTGAACTCAATATTTTATTCTGTTGAATAATCAAATACGATGTATTTATTTACGCCTGTTGCTGATGGATGCCACTTCCTAGATTATCTTTGGGAGTCTGTCTTGATGCAATAAGTGCCCCAAGGAGGATTTAATCAGAAAGAGAATTTTACAAACCTGTAGAGGTTATGAATTCTCTGATGAAATCCTCCTTGGGGCACGGCCACCCACCTCCCCTCATTCCGTCAGCATTAGACATATGGAAAGTGATTTGGGTGAGAGTTGCTCCCCCTGGCGTGAGGCGCCGTTGGGGGTGAGGCCCCGTAAAGGTGGTCGTATATCATACAAAAACGAAGTTTTTTGTGTGGTAACATTTTTTATTAAAGAAAAATGGTTACAACTATGTCATGTAGATTTTCTTGAGCAAGGAAAATGCAATAAGTGCCCCAAGGAGGATTTCATCAGAGAATTCATAACCTCTACAGGTTTGTAAAAGTTTAAACTCACAAGCAGAAGTTGATTGTCATACCCTTAAAAGAACAGATCATCACAGATCAGAATACTTTCATATCCAGTACTTAATCAGTATAACAATTAAACTGAACATTGTTTTGTGAACCCAATTAGTCCTCAAAGAGATGGTATCAAAGCTTGTGTAGGTATTACCTAGAAGTTGCACAGTTTGGGCCTGTCTGTTGTGACAGGTTTGAGAAGCTGACTGAGGACGCCCCCGGTGTGAGTGGACACCAGTACATGCTGGGGCGAGTCCTGTGGCAGCTGCGAGACACCGAAGGCCAGGATGGGGTGCAGGAGAGATGTTTCAAGGCCTTTCTTAAGGTGAGGGGTGCAGGAGAGATGTTTCAAGGCCTTCTTTGAGGTTAGGGGTGCAGGAGAGATGTTTCAAGGCCTTCCACAAGGTGAGGGGTGCAGGAGAGATGTTTCAAGGCCTTCCTCAAGGTGAGGGGTGCAGGAGAGATGTTTCAAGGCCTTCTTTGAGGTTAGGGGTGCAGGAGAGATGTTTCAAGGCCTTCCTTATAGTGAGGGGTGCAGGTGAGATGTTTCAAGACCTTCTATAAGGTGAGGGGTGCAGGAGAGATGTTTCAAGGCCTTCCTTAAGGTAAGGGGTGCGGGAAGGATTTTCAAGGCCTTCTATAAGGTGAGGGGTCCAGGAGAGATGTTTCAAGGCCTTCTTTAAGGTGAGGGGTGCAGGAGAGATGTTTCAAGACCTTCTATAAGGTGAGGGGTGCAGGAGAAATGTTTCAAGGCCTTCCTTATGGTGAGGGGTGCAGGAGAGATGTTTCAAGACCTTCCTTAAGGTGAGGGGTGCAGGAGAGATGTTTCAAGGCCTACCTTAAGGTGAGGGATGCAGAAGAGATGTTTTAGGGCTTTCCTAAGGCCCATGTGGCCAACATTTGATTGACTTAGGGATTTAGTGTCACATTGAAAGAAGTTGAAATCTTCACTGATACTACAGCTTCTGATAATACACTTAAAGATAATACTTGATTTGTATGTTCATTGAAACAAAATGACATTGCACATCATACATAAATGTTTATCATGTTTCAGGCAGCCAAACTTGACCCCTACAATAGTGACATATTCCTCTACCTGGGACACTTCTACGCCACTGTGCAGAAGGAGAATGTGTATGTATTCAACCTGATGGTTGAGTTGACTCCCTTTAGTTTGCTCATGGCTTCTTTTGATGTTAACTGGCAGTGGTAGTGATGTTGATTCAGCTGTCAACTTCAGTTATCCTGATCTGTTTTTTGTCACTTTCTTTTTAACACTATTAAACAGAAAAGCCAAGCGTTGCTATCAGAAGGCGTACGACCTTGACCCTGCTAATGAGGAGGCTGGAGCTGCACTCTGTGACATCTTGGTCGCCATTGGTGAAGATGTAAGTCACAACTGAAACTGTTTTGATGGAAATAAGGTCTTCTTATAAGGGTGTTGGGTTGGTCAAGACATGTAGTCCTTCATTTGTCATGCCAAAGACCAGCACAGTGTCCGATTCTCCTCACTATCAAAGCCTATTGTTGGCGCCCCCTTCATGTTGAAGTATAGGAGTTACAACTGTTATAGCACTACAGTCGCTGTGTGAAACTGGGCCCTGGTTATTGGAATATGTGATCATGACATAGCAGATTATTAGATGTCAGGTGAAATATATTAATGATTATTGAAAGACGACAAATGCTTTGTATAAGGGCATGATGAACAACTTTATTTCTTCCAAGAGAAAAACCTCCATAGGGCCATTTTGTCACTGGGCCATTTTGTAGCAGGGCCACTTTGTCACAGGGCCACTTTGTCACTTGGCCACTTTGTCACAGGGCCACTTTGTCACTAGGCTACTTTGTCACAGGGCCACTTTGTCACTAGGCTACTTTGTCTCTAGGCCATTTGTAACAGGGCCACTTTATCACAGGGCCATTTTGTAACAGGGTCACTTTGTCACCAGGCCATTTTGTAACAGGGCCACTTTGTCACCAGCCACTTTGATACAGGGCCATTGGTGTCACTTATGTCACTGGTGTCACTGGGCCACTTATAACACAGGGTCACATGTGTCACTGGGCCACTTATAACACAGGGCCACATGTGTCACTGGGCCACTGTGTCACTAGGCCACTTGTGTCACGGGTCCACTTGTGTCACAGGGCCCCTTGTGTCACAGGTCCACTTATGTCACAGGGCCACTTGTGTCACTGGGCCACTTATGTCACTGGGCCACTTATGTCACTTATATCACAGGACCACTTGTGTCACAGGGCCACTTATGTCACTTATATCACAGGGCCACTTGTGTCACATATGTCACGGGGCCCACTTGTGTCACTGGGCCACTTATATCACAGTGCCACTTGTGTTAAGGGGCCACATATGTCACAGGACCACTTATATCACAGGGCCGCTTGTGTCACTGGGCCACTTAAGTCACTTATATATCACAGGGCCTCTTGTGTCACTTATGTCACGGGGCCACTTGTGTCACTGGGCCACTTATATCACTGGGCCACTTGTGTCACTGGGCCACTTATATCACTGGGCCACTTATGTCACAGGGCCACTTGTGTCACTTATGTCACAGGGCCACTTGTGTCACTTGTTTCACAGGGCCACTTATATCACTCGGCCACTTGTGTCACATATGTCACGGGGCCCACTTGTGTCACTGGGCCACTTATATCACAGGGCCACTTGTGTTAAGGGGCCACATATGTCACAGGACCACTTATATCACAGGGCCGCTTGTGTCACTGGGCCACTTAAGTCACTTATATATCACAGGGCCTCTTGTGTCACTTATGTCACAGGGCCACTTGTGTCACTGGGCCACTTATATCACTGGGCCACTTGTGTCACTGGGCCACTTATATCACTGGGCCACTTATGTCACAGGGCCACTTGTGTCACTTATGTCACAGGGCCACTTGTGTCACTTATGTCACAGGGCCACTTGTGTCACTTATGTCACAGGGCCACTTGTGTCACTTATGTCACAGGGCCACTTGTGTCACTTATGTCACAGGGCCGCTTGTGTCACTTATGTCACAGGGCCGCTTGTGTCACTGGGCCACTTTTGTCACTGGGCCACTAATGTCAGGTTAGATGAAAGGCTGATTCCAGTCCAAGATTTTTCAATTTCCAATCCATAACAATGGTCCCCGTAGATGAGGGGCTGTGTTATAGAGCTGTGCCTGTAGAGATGTTACTGGTTGCAGGAGGAAGCCAAGGCCCTTCTGGAGGCTGCCACAAGTCAGGCCAATGCTGGCTGGTGAGTGCAGGCCAACTGTTTGTTTGAATTAGAACTATTTACTAGGGATGTAGATATTAAACAGTTTGTATTGGTATTGTGGCAAACAATATCTGTATTATGATGTGACTTGGATTTGTTCATAGCATGGAAATATATTTTTAAGTTTGAAAAGATGTTCTTCAATTGTGGAAAAATGTTTACCCATACTGGTAAGCATTGTCTTCACGCATGAAAAGACCCCAAAGCTGCTATTGTGGTAGGATATGTAGCACTACAGTGGGATTCAGCTTTTATCACAGCATTAAGATTTAGACAACAGTATAAGCAACAGTGCTTTTTGTGGAGTATTTTTTCTCATTATGTGTGTTTGTATGACTAGTGGCAAGTGGGCCTGGCTGAGGCTAGGTCTGTATCAGGTGCGACATGACGACCCCACCATCGCCGTGGCATCATTCCAGGCGGCTCTCAGAGCAGACCCCCGAGACAAGTAAGAACCCATGTTCTAACATGGTCCCTGCCTCACAAAGCAGTCTTAGCACTACCACTGGTTGATATATGTTAACGTATTGGAGTTATGACTGTCATAGAGCAAAGGGACCGCAGTACGACAGTAACTCCTAAACTTTAACGTAAACTTACGACAGTCGTAGCGCTACTTTGTGAAAGGGGGCCATAAACTCTAGTTATTGGCAAGCATGATCATGACACAGCAGAATATAACTTGCCAGTTAGAGTGTTTTAAAATCATTATTGAAAGAAGACAGATGCATCATATATATGATGACTGTTTTGTGAATAGATGATAGAAAATATGTATAAAAATCACAATACCTGTTTCTGTATGTTTTGCAATCGGATATTAAATATTTGCTTGAGATGTTTCATTATTCACTCTGGCCATGGAGAGACACTTTTTAAAGCAGTCCAAGTGTTAAATTTATATTAAGTATTAATATATTGGAAGGTAAAGTATTCAAATGACACCCTGTATTTGCGCCTTGGTCTTTGTAACCATGTGTACATTTCACATTTCCCTCCTCTGTATCCCGGATGAAGATATTCTTGTCACACATGGCAACTGAAATAATGAGATCTTCCTCAGTGAGGGGCGGTCTAGTAGCCTAGTGATTAAAGCATTTGCTCGTCATGCCAAAGACCTGGGTTTGATTCTCGACATGGGTACAATGTGTGAAGCCCATTTCTGGTGTCCCCCGCTGTGATATTGCTGGAATATTGCTAAAAGCAGCGTAAAACCATACTCACTCACTTCCTCAGTGAATTGGCTGATGTGTCATCATACCCCAACAGAATGGGACGTGATATCCAGATGATTATTTATAGGCAGCTACTACAATCACCATTTTCCTTTTGTCAGCCATGTGTGGGAGTGTTTGGCCGAGGCTTACCTGCACCGGGGGAGCTACACAGCAGCTCTCAAGACGTTCACAAAGGCAGCTGAGGTGAGGACAGAAGTAGTCAGGGAGATGTTACAGTCAAGTATTGCTTTCAAGTATATATACCACAAACCAAACTGCTTTGTTTCATGTTGTGTGGGGCAGGGCGGTGGGGTAGCCTAGTGGTTAAAGTGTTCGTACGTCACACTGAAAACCCGGTTTTGATGCCCCACATGGGTACAATGTATGAAGCCCATTTCTGGTGTCCCCTGCCGTGATATTGCTGGAATATTGGTAAAAATGGCATAAAACAATACTCACTCATATAGTGTGGTCAAAATCAGTGCTCATTTTAGGTACATTTGAGAACAAATTTCTTGTCTGATTTTGACATTTTATAACATGTACAATGAAGCAGAAATGTTGAGGAGACATAATTATGTCTTGATTGATGGTGTAGGGGTGTTTGATCGAATATCATAAAGACTTTTGCGCAATGTGTTTTGGTGGGCATGGTGGGTAAAGAGTCTCAGAATTCTATGAAATCCATTGCACCTTTTTAAGTACTTATACTTAAGAAAATGATCAATGTAGCGGTAATAGTAGAAATGATAGGTGCAAACCATTGTAAAAGGAATGTGTCTGTTCATACAGCAATCTGACTGTTTAAAAACAACAACCTGTAATCACCTGGACATTTCAAATATGTATGTGTACTTGATTTGATAACAGTGCCTTTGACTGTGGTGAAAGGTTACATGAAAGTTACTTTACAAGTGCTTGAATTTGTTTCCAAAGATTGGCATGAACCCTCAACAATGTAACATGACTCATAACTTCTTTCATTACAGTTGAACCCAGAATCAGTGTACAGTCTCTTCCAGTGAGTACATGATTACTTCCTACCCACCCAACATCTTGAATGTCACTTCCTAAAGATGTGTGGAGCCCACTTCATGATATTGTTTGAATGTTGCAAAGTTCATCATAAAAACTCACTCACTCACTCACTCACTCACCCAACCACTCAACCACTCACTCAAACACTCACTCAAACACTCACTCAAACACTCAACCACTCACTCAACCACTCAACATGGACAAAATTTTCACATCACTTACTGGCATTGGCACCTGTAAAAAGTGTGTTCTTTTCATTGTAATACTAATGTTTTTAATGGTTATCTATAACAATCTCTTTTCATGTTTGACTACAGAATTGCCAGCATTAAGCAGACCCTAGGAGAATACCCCGAGGCTGTGGCGGAGTACAAGACCATCCTGGAGAAGTCCCACAACTATGTGCCAGCACTCAAAGGTGGGCAGCATGTCCAAGTAGAGATGCTACATATATCAGTAACACTGCACGCAACACCCAGTTACACAGTTCAGAGCATGTGTCTGTAACACATTCTATATTACATTGATAGTCATGCTGCAGTATGCATGTATGTAGTGTTTTCTGTAAATTTACAGTAGCATCTCTCTGTTCAGGTCTTGGTGAAACCCTGTTGCTGTTGGCACGGCAACACTTGACCACCTGTCTGGACGGCCTGGCTCGGGACAAGTGTCAGGAGGCCTTGGTTTATCTGACCAGGTGAGATGGTGCATCCTTCAGTCACTACACCGGGGATCTCCATGATCACATCCTTAAGTCATTACACCGGGGATCTCCATGATCACATCCTTAAGTCACTACACCGGGGATCTCCATGATCACATCCTTAAGTCATTACACCGGGGATCTCCATGATCACATCCTTAAGTCACTACACCGGGGATCTCCATGATCACATCCTTAAGTCACTACACCGGGGATCTCCATGATCACATCCTTAAGTCATTACACCGGGGATCTCCATGATCACATCCTTAAGTCATTACACCGGGGATCTCGATGATCACATCCTTAAGTCACTACACCGGGGATCTCCATGATCACATCCTTAAGTCACTACACCGGGGATCTCCATGATCACATCCTTAAGTCACTACACCGGGGATCTCCATGATCACATCCTTAAGTCACTACACCGGGAATCTCCATGATCACATCCTTAAGTCACTACACCGGGGATCTCCATGATCACATCCTTAAGTCACTACACCGGGGATCTCCATGATCACATCCTTAAGTCATTACACTGGGGATCTCCATGATCACATCCTTAAGTCATTACACTGGGGATCTCCATGATCACATCCTTAAGTCATTACACCGGGGATCTCCATGATCACATCCTTAAGTCATTACACTGGGGATCTCCATGATCACATCCTTAAGTCATTACACTGGGGATATCCATGATCACATCCTTAAGTCATTACACTGGGGATCTCCATGATCACATGATCCTTCAGTCATTACACTGGGGATCTCCATGATCACATCATCCTTAAGTCACTACACTGGGGATCTCCATGATCACATCCTTAAGTCATTACACCGGGGATCTCCATGATCACATCCTTAAGTCATTACACTTGGGATATCCATGATCACATCCTTAAGTCATTACTCTGGGGATCTCCATGATCACATCATCCTTAAGTCATTACACTGGGGATCTCCATGATCACATCCTTAAGTCATTACACCGGGGATCTCCATGATCACATCCTTAAGTCATTACACTGGTGATCTCCATGATCACATCCTTATGTCATTACACTGGGGATCTCCATGATCACATCCTTAAGTCATTACACCGGGGATCTCCATGATCACATCCTTAAGTCATTACACTGGTGATCTCCATGATCACATCCTTATGTCATTACACTGGGGATCTCCATGATCACATCCTTAAGTCATTACACCGGGAATCTCCATGATCACATCCTTAAGTCATTACACCGGGAATCTCCATGATCACATCCTTAAGTCATTACACCGGGGATCTCCATGATCACATCATCCTTAAGTCATTACACTGGGGATCTCCATGATCACATCCTTATGTCATTACACCGGGGATCTCCATGATCACATCCTTAAGTCACTACACCGGGGATCTCCATGATCACATCATCCTTAAGTCATTACACTGGGGATCTCCATGATCACATCCTTATGTCATTACACCGGGGATCTCCATGATCACATCATCCTTAAGTCATTACACTGGGGATCTCCATGATCACATCCTTATGTCATTACACCGGGGATCTCCATGATCACATCCTTAAGTCACTACACCGGGGATCTCCATGATCACATCATCCTTAAGTCACTACACCGGGGATCTCCATGATCACATCATCCTTAAGTCATTACACTGGGGATCTCCATGATCACATCCTTATGTCATTACACCGGGGATCTCCATGATCACATCCTTAAGTCACTACACCGGGGATCTCCATGATCACATCATCCTTAAGTCATTACACTGGGGATCTCCATGATCACATCATCCTTAAATCATTACACTGGGGATCTCCATGATCACATCCTTAAGTCATTACACTGGGGATCTCCATGATCACATGATCCTTAAATCATTACACTGGTGATCTCCATGATCACATCCTTAAGTCATTACACTGGGGATCTCCATGATCACATCATCCTTAAGTCTTATCATGTGAACCAATCAGATCTCATCATTCTGACATGAAGGTATGATAAAGTATTTTATCAAAATCACATGAACCAATCAGATCTCATCATTCTGACATGGAGGTATGATATAATATTTTATCAATATCACGTGAACCAATCAGATCTCATCATTCTGACATGGAGGTATGATAACATATTTTATCAATATCACGTGAACCAATCAGATCTCATCATTCTGACATGGAGGTATGATAACATATTTTATCAATATCACGTGAAGCAATCAGATCTCATCATTCTGACATGGAGGTATCCTTTACAAGAGGGAACTCCATGGTCACATCATCCTTAGGTCCTGGGTGTGGTCCAGATATGACAGGTTTTGATTTATGGTGATGCTATTGGTCAACTTCATTACATGTCTATAGAGTGTAAATATAGATATGCATATTTTTGAATGAGGAGTCTACCTGGTATGCTTTTGGTGGAAAGATACGTCCCAAATTAACACTGATTGTTGGGTGTGTCATAATTTTATATACACCAATATGTCTAATTTGATTAAACGAGGTAAATGAGCCAGGTTGTAATGTCAGATAGTCTGTTGAGGCACCCTGTGCACCTGCATGAAATATTGGAACATGTGAATGATGAACTCCCTGTTTGTGTCAGAGCTGCGTCCCAGCGTGCGGACCTGTCCTGCCTGTGGAAGCTGATGGGGGACGCCTGTACTGTGCTGCAGCCTCTGGCCCCGGAGACATTCAGGTAGGGCTGACCCACCACCTGATGACACAGTGGTGCCCTTGTCTTCTTGCTTGTACACTCTACTGGTTCGTGTTCTTACATCAAACTTGTTTATTAGTTTTTCTTGACCTTTGAACTGTTATTAACTGGAGCATGGTTCATTAGCTAAACTAGCTTCTTCTAATGTCGATGTTTGTCTTCAGTTTCCTGTAGTACGTATTAGTCTGCAGTTTCCAGTTATGTCTGTGTTAGTCTGCAGCTTCGTGCATTGATGTGTTATATGTCTGTTAGTCTGCAGCTTCCTGCAGTGATGTGTTATATGTCTGTTAGTCTACAGCTTCTTGCAGTTCCTGCAGTGATGTGTTATATCTCTGTTGGTCTGCAGCTTCCTCCAGTGACGTGTTATATCTCTGTTAGTCTGCAGCTTCCTCCAGTGATGTGTTATTTCTCTGTTAGTCTGCAGCTTCCTCCAGTGATGTGTTATATCTCTGTTAGTCTACAGCTTTCTCCAGTGATGTGTTATATCTCTGTTAGTCTGCAGCTTCCTCCAGTGATGTGTTATGTCTCTGTTAGTCTACAGCTTCCTCCAGTGATGTGTTATATCTCTGTTAGTCTGCAGCTTCCTCCAGTGATGTGTAATATCTCTGTTAGTCTACAGCTTCCTCCAGTGATGTGTTATATCTCTGTTAGTCTGCAGCTTCCTCCAGTGATGTGTTATATCTCTGTTAGTCTGCAGCTTCCTCTAGTGATGTGTTATATCTCTGTTAGTGTACAGCTTCCTCCAGTGATGTGTTATATCTCTGTTAGTCTCCAGCTTCCTCCAGTGATGTGTTATATCTCTGTTAGTCTGCAGCTTCCTCCAGTGATGTGTTATATCTCTGTTAGTCTACAGCTTCCTCCAGTGATGTGTTATATCTCTGTTAGTCTACAGCTTTCTCCAGTGATTTGTTATATCTCTGTTAGTCTGCAGCTTCCTCCAGTGATGTGTAATATCTCTGTTAGTCTACAGCTTCCTCCAGTGATGTGTTATATCTCTGTTAGTCTGCAGCTTCCTCCAGTGATGTGTTATATCTCTGTTAGTCTGCAGCTTCCTCCAGTGATGTGTAATATCTCTGTTAGTCTACAGCTTCCTCCAGTGATGTGTTATATCTCTGTTAGTCTGCAGCTTCCTCCAGTGATGTGTTATATCTCTGTTAGTCTGCAGCTTCCTCCAGTGATGTGTTATATCTCTGTTAGTCTACAGCTTCCTCCAGTGATGTGTTATATCTCTGTTAGTCTACAGCTTCCTCCAGTGATGTGTTATATCTCTGTTAGTCTACAGCTTCCTCCAGTGATGTGTTATATCTCTGTTAGTCTACAGCTTTCTCCAGTGATGTGTTATATCTCTGTTAGTCTGCAGCTTCCTCCAGTGATGTGTAATATCTCTGTTAGTCTACAGCTTCCTCCAGTGATGTGTTATATCTCTGTTAGTCTGCAGCTTCCTCCAGTGATGTGTTATATCTCTGTTAGTCTGCAGCTTCCTCCAGTGATGTGTTATATCTCTGTTAGTCTGCAGCTTCCTCCAGTGATGTGTAATATCTCTGTTAGTCTACAGCTTCCTCCAGTGATGTGTTATATCTCTGTTAGTCTGCAGCTTCCTCCAGTGATGTGTTATATCTCTGTTAGTCTGCAGCTTCCTCCAGTGATGTGTTATATCTCTGTTAGTCTACAGCTTCCTCCAGTGATGTGTTATATCTCTGTTAGTCTACAGCTTCCTCCAGTGATGTGTTATATCTCTGTTAGTCTACAGCTTTCTCCAGTGATGTGTTATATCTCTGTTAGTCTACAGCTTTCTCAAGTGATGTGTTATATCTCTGTTAGTCTACAGCTTTCTCAAGTGATGTGTTATATCTCTGTTAGTCTACAGCTTCCTCCAGTGATGTGTTATATCTCTGTTAGTCTGCAGCTTCCTCCAGTGATGTGTTATATCTCTGTTAGTCTACAGCTTCCTCCAGTGATGTGTTATATCTCTGTTAGTCTACAGCTTTCTCAAGTGATGTGTTATATCTCTGTTAGTCTACAGCTTTCTCAAGTGATGTGTTATATCTCTGTTAGTCTACAGCTTCCTCCAGTGATGTGTTATATCTCTGTTAGTCTGCAGCTTCCTCCAGTGATGTGTTATATCTCTGTTAGTCTACAGCTTCCTCAAGTGATGTGTTATATCTCTGTTAGTCTACAGCTTCCTCCAGTGATGTGTTATATCTCTGTTAGTCTACAGCTTTCTCAAGTGATGTGTTATATCTCTGTTAGTCTACAGCTTTCTCAAGTGATGTGTTATATCTCTGTTTGTCTACAGCTTCCTCCAGTGATGTGTTATATCTCTGTTAGTCTACAGCTTCCTCCAGTGATGTGTTATATCTCTGTTAGTCTACAGCTTCCTCCAGTGATGTGTTATATCTCTGTTAGTCTACAGCTTTCTCCAGTGATGTGTTATATCTCTGTTAGTCTACAGCTTTCTCAAGTGATGTGTTATATCTCTGTTAGTTTACAGCTTCCTCCAGTGATGTGTTATATCTCTGTTAGTCTACAGCTTCCTCCAGTGATGTGTTATATCTCTGTTAGTCTGCAGCTTCCTCCAGTGATGTGTTATATCTCTGTTAGTCTGCAGCTTCCTCCAGTGATGTGTAATATCTCTGTTAGTCTACAGCTTCCTCCAGTGATGTGTTATATCTCTGTTAGTCTACAGCTTCCTCCAGTGATGTGTTATATCTCTGTTAGTCTGCAGCTTCCTCCAGTGATGTGTTATATCTCTGTTAGTCTACAGCTTCCTCCAGTGATGTGTTATATCTCTGTTAGTCTACAGCTTCCTCCAGTGATGTGTTATATCTCTGTTAGTCTACAGCTTTCTCCAGTGATGTGTTATATCTCTGTTAGTCTGCAGCTTCCTCCAGTGATGTGTTATATCTCTGTTAGTCTACAGCTTCCTCCAGTGATGTGTTGTATCTCTGTTAGTCTACAGCTTCCTCCAGTGATGTGTTATATCTCTGTTAGTCTACAGCTTCCTCCAGTGATGTGTTATATCTCTGTTAGTCTACAGCTTCCTCCAGTGATGTGTTATATCTCTGTTAGTCTACAGCTTCCTCCAGTGATGTGTTATATCTCTGTTAGTCTACAGCTTCCTCCAGTGATGTGTTATATCTCTGTTAGTCTACAGCTTCCTCCAGTGATGTGTTATATCTCTGTTAGTCTACAGCTTTCTCCAGTGATGTGTAATATCTCTGTTAGTCTACAGCTTCCTCCAGTGATGTGTTATATCTCTGTTAGTCTACAGCTTCCTCCAGTGATGTGTTATATCTCTGTTAGTCTACAGCTTCCTCCAGTGATGTGTTATATCTCTGTTAGTCTACAGCTTCCTCCAGTGATGTGTTATATCTCTGTTAGTCTACAGCTTCCTCCAGTGATGTGTTATATCTCTGTTAGTCTACAGCTTTCTCAAGTGATGTGTTATATCTCTGTTAGTCTACAGCTTTCTCCAGTGATGTGTTATATCTCTGTTAGTCTACAGCTTTCTCAAGTGATGTGTTATATCTCTGTTAGTCTACAGCTTCCTCCAGTGATGTGTTATATCTCTGTTAGTCTACAGCTTTCTCCAGTGATGTGTTATATCTCTGTTAGTCTACAGCTTTCTCAAGTGATGTGTTATATCTCTGTTAGTCTACAGCTTCCTCCAGTGATGTGTTATATCTCTGTTAGTCTACAGCTTCCTCCAGTGATGTGTTATATCTCTGTTAGTCTACAGCTTCCTCCAGTGATGTGTTATATCTCTGTTAGTCTGCAGCTTCCTCCAGTGATGTGTTATATCTCTGTTAGTCTACAGCTTCCTCCAGTGATGTGTTATATCTCTGTTAGTCTACAGCTTTCTCAAGTGATGTGTTATATCTCTGTTAGTCTACAGCTTTCTCCAGTGATGTGTTATATCTCTGTTAGTCTACAGCTTTCTCAAGTGATGTGTTATATCTCTGTTAGTCTACAGCTTCCTCCAGTGATGTGTTATATCTCTGTTAGTCTACAGCTTTCTCCAGTGATGTGTTATATCTCTGTAAGTCTACAGCTTCCTCCAGTGATGTGTAATTACATTAAGTAATACGTTACCACTGTTATACCGAGGCTGTTGTCTCCCACAACTGCTGCTATAGCGAAATCTACCACAGAGATCTCAATTACCTCATGCAGCACGTGCGTAGCCACCCAGCTGCCATGTGACACCCTTCACTCTTGTCTCCTTCGTCTGCTTAGCAAGACGTGTTTTCTCCTGCTGAAGCGTTCCTTGAAGATTTGGTGATATTTATTATAGTTTATTCTCTAATAAACTGTGCTTTTATGGGGCGTTGCGGTAGCTACGCTTGGTTATAATTTTCCCGCCCTTTTTTCTATATACTTGCGGGGTTCGCGTATGCACGTTGTGTTTTACGTTTCCCCTGTTCTTGTATGTTTTGGGGGTTAACATAACTTATTTCTTTAATAAAAGTTATATGTGTATGTTATATGTTCACATTGCTCGTTTATTTTCTTGTGAAAATGTTCGTTTGAGAATCATTGTGGTGCGTGCGTTGTAACCATGTTTTGTTCTTTGTTTATAGCAAACAATCAATGTCTGACATGGATATGTCCCCAGTATCCACCCCCTCTACCCCTGCTCCTCGGAGTTGTGGGGTGTGCAGAAAGTTTTTGTCGTCCCGGGATCCCCACGATCGTTGCCCGCGGTGCAGGGTTCCTTGCGGGGACACCCGGTGCATCCTGTGCGAAGGTCTGGGGCCTGCGGAGTTTGAGCGGTACCGGCTGTACGTACAGTCCGTCTCCACCCCTGTGGTGGCCGGTTCGTCCGGTCGGGGTCCCCGTGCGGGTACCACCTCCTCGGCTGCGGCGGATCCCCTTGCGGCCCTCGGGCTGTCTGGGGATTCCGTCGCCGCATTGTTGTCGAAACTTGTGGTCTCCAAGCTGGCGGCCTTATCGCAAGATAGGCCGCTGGCTGTTCCGTCCCC